TCCAAAAAAAAAAAGCAAAAACAAATTTTTAGAAATTGAGTATTTTAAAAATTACGCAGACTTCTGGCTAGTTATGGCGGCGACGGCTAGGGTCAGAATTGTCTGGCGAGTCGGTAGAGCGCTTGCGCGTAGCCGAGTGTCCGTATATTTCCTCCGGATAATGGTCTCTGGGCGAGTTAGCGATGCGGCTAATTTGGTCGCGGATAAAAGGCTGGGAAAGAAGGCTATTGATTCTGTCAACGGTGGCTTGGTCCTCTGGTGAAAAGTCCGATACTGGCGTTAATGGGCGCGAAGCCGTGGAACGGAATGGTGTTGGCGGGCGACGGCGGCGTTGGTGCGCATTCAGAAAGCGTGGTCGGCATTGATTGCGAGTCGGAGTAGTAAAGGCGTTAGAAGTGGAAGGCATTCCGGGTGACGGCGGAGTTGAAGAGCGGCGTCTACCTCGTGGCGCATCCAAAAGGCGTGAGCGGTATGGGCTGCGTGCAGGTGAGGGTGAAGTCAAACGAATTAAGTTGAAAGACTGCGATTGAGGCGGTGATGGCATTCGCTCTCGTGCAACGCGAGAAACATTCCAACGAGAGGTATGTGCTGGCTGCGTAAGGTAACGGCTCAAAGTTGACATGTCAGGAGAAGCGGGACTGTAATCCACAGCCACCAGCGGTGTGATCGTCGGTTCGGGTGTGCGTGAACGTTGTGGTAGGGAAAATGCTAGCTCTCGCTCGGTGTCGTCAGGTAACGGAGAGTAGACGTTGTCGTAGGCGGGAGTATAGACTTCGCCGTCGTTAATTGGAGTGTAGTAAAGGGCGTTGGCTGGAGCAGGATAGTCGTTTGCTGGAGTGTAAACGCCTGGAAACTGTGGACTTGGAGGTGTGTAATGCCCAGGCTGGTGGTCGGGTAAGGGATTCTCACCAATGAACGGAACGGTACCCGTCACGCCAAACTGGTAGACTGAGTTGTAGGCAGGGCAAGGACCATACGGTCCAACAAAAGAAATAAGACGGGCGTCATGAAAAAACTGCAAGTCACCCTATAAATGGTAGAAAACTATAATAAATAAAGAATACGGCTTACAATTTTACTAACAAAAATATATCGCTTTAAAACGAAGCAAGAAATAAATCTATTGTTGAATTTACCAGAATCATATCTGCCAAATGGATAGCGTGCACCTAATCATCGGGAAGATTATTCATGGCGCTTCCTTTTGGACGTCGAGCCAGCATATCACAACGTATACGAGTAGCAATTTCTGTTTAATACAATTTTGTTGCAATATTAGACAAAAAAAATTATTTGGAAAATTCTCTTACCGAATGCTCTGTTGGAAATGGCAGCCAGCTCTGGAGTCGTTGGAGTGCGAGTGAAAACATGAAAGAACTGGTCGATCTCCAGACAAGCGTTAGCAAACGGACCCGCAGGATCGACCAGATTGTATGGTCGATACACGCCAACGGAGGAAGTGGATGATGCGTAGGACAATGAGGATGAAGAAGATGATGATGTGGATGCTACTGAATCTGCTCGGGAAGACATTATGAAAAGGTCATTAGCTAACTCAAGCTTACTAAAGGAACAGTCTACAGTGCTGGTATAAGGTAACGGTATAAGATCCAAGAAGCGTCCAAAAACTGCTGTTCGAGCAACTGATGAATGTTTACTGTGGCTGCAGTTGGTTTATATCAGCGAAAATTTAGTTTCCAGATTTTTCACCGTACAGGTCTCTTTGTTTCCTTACCTGCGGTCTGGTTAAGGTTGTTTTCCCTTCGTAAGACTAAGCCTAACTGTTTCCGTACATACATGTAGGATCAAAGTTTTAACCAACAAGGCCAAAAACGTACGGTTGAGTTTCTCAGTACAAGTGTTAAGAGAAAAGGCAAGTTTCTGTGGAATTTTGATATGTGTTAAAGTTAAGGAAAGTGGAGAGGAGCCCTATGAAAAGACACTGGAGGGCAAGCAATGAACAGTAATCCGTCTCACGACCCCGATAAGAGCCATTATGTTCTTGTTTTTTTTGGGTCAAGCGGCATTCTGATATACCCTGCATCCGTATTTCAGATCCTGAATAAGTCGCGTCAGCGGCCTGGTTTCTATTGTTTGAGAATTTTGACATAATGGCTGCCGTTCTCCTGTCGATTTGCCCTGTTGCCTAGCTAATAACCCGGATTCGTCGCGACACTGACTAAAATTGCATTGTTTTACTAACGACACAATCTTGTTTATCTGGGTTACATGTTCTTTTGATTTGGTCTGGTACCTGGATATCTACGAGCCGGATTCCGACGCGACTGTGACTTGCTTTCTATTGTTTCAAAAAACGGTTTTTCCGGAGTCTCACAACGGTTCTCTCTAGACCCTTTCCACGGAATGGGTCAGAAGGAATTTTCCTTCTTAGCTCCACGTATGATACAGCCCAACCCACATCGTAAGAGAACCAGTGTCCACCAGACCAAGAACTCGCTGTTTCGGTGCAAATCAGTCTGGTCAAGAGTAGTGGGTGTTTACAAATCACCTGCAGCCAATGGCCGTGCACCAGAAAAAATTTCGAGTTCCAACTCAGATGATATAAGTCGATGTCTCTAACACAAAATCAAATCATTTGGACAGTTTTCGTTTACTCACCACTGCAACTGGATCTTCAGTGTCTTCAATGGCTATTCCCGATTTTCCTGACGAGTTTCCACTGCTTGAAGAGTATACTGGTAAGTGCACACAGTATCTGCTGCTAACTGCTATTTTAAGAAACTGTCAAATTTTGTTTTCTAACATTAGTAAAAGGTGACCTTTCCCAATTCGACTGAAGCTCTTAATAACATAGTTGTTACTCTGTTGCCTAAAGAAAATCTCGGCTTCTTTTTAGAAATCGCAAATGAATTGTTTTCGGACTGGTTGGCTCTCAGCCACTGCCGCAGGATCCGGCGTTATTCTGGCTACTTCAACCTAGCCTTTGCGTTGTGGACTGATCTCGCTTACTACATCCGCCATTTTGATGCCCTAATCCGGTTTCTCCACGTTGCTGAATTTCATGCATCCACTGTATTTCAGCTGTAAATTTTTTCTTCGCCTAAAGTTTCACTTCGTAGTTCTTCTTTCATTTTGGCTCATGATTTATCGCTAATTTCAAAATTTCCTATGTAGAAGCAGTTGCATGATTTCTACTATTGGCTCAATGTTCCCACGCCGGATCTACCTGACGAATTTCCACTACTTGCACAATACACTGGTAAGCCACTAAATTTGTTGATTCGGTTTAAATGTTTTTGTGTTTTTCAATTCCAATATTTGAAACGTACTTATCCTTTTAGAACAAGTAAACGTCTTGATTGCGGAATGGGCTTTACGTACGGAGTTTGAGCAGATCCACACCTACTACACGTACTACTCGCAGGCCAAAAATATGTGGTTTGATCTTCAGCGTTACACTCGCAATGCTGGCGTGCTCCTCCTGTTTCTCCGTCTAATTGATTTTATGGTAAGAACCCTCGCCGTTTCTGCTAATTTATTTTTCAGTGTATAATTCAATTTCTATTCAATATTCGGTTTTTATAGAAACAGCTGCACGATTTCTACTACGAACGTGTTGCTGGCGCTCCTGATAACTCGCTTGACTCGGGTTTCTTTGAGGGCGATCCGTCGGACGAAGCTGAAAGCGACGTGGGGGACGAAAACGAAAAAGAAGGTGGACACGTTCTCGCGGACGACACTTTGGAGAGTGAGCCGGCGACTGACGCTGAAGATGGGGAAATCAACGCGGTTCCGGAGACCGAAGAGGAGGGGGAATTGGAGGACACTATCCTGGTTGGAGACCTTGACTTGGACGAGTATCTCAACGGCACTGAGCGCGTGGACTCTGTCGAAGGCGGCAACAAACGCAAGCATTCGGAGGACGACGACGACGACAACGGTCCTACTGATGAACCGCCGGCAAAGAAGCAAGAGACTGAGGTGAACATGCAAAAATAAACTGTCGTAGTGTTTTTCTTCGATGGCTTTGTTTTTATATACCATTGAATAATAGCAGTACACTTTGACCGCTTCTGATAACTCTCATTTAATACCGCATGCCTTGGGGTGGTGGTGGTTGCAGTAATAGTGGAATTACAGTGTTATGGTAATCGTTGTGGTTGTTTCTGATGATGGAGATTGTTGTTTGAATAATACAACGTGGAGCGTTTTTGCTAGTTATTCTCACATTAAAACATGTCGAAAAAAAGGCCGAGCGGTTACTTACCGGCGCTGCTAGCGCCGGTAAGTATCCACTCGCGCCCACTGAAACGCCCAAAGGTGTGGCTAAAACACTGTTGACCAATTGCATCGCATTACAGAAAACATCAGACCAATAAGCGCATGCTACAGTAATTGAGCTCGTCTATAAAAGTTGGGCGGCACAAGATTTTTCTTCATTTCAATCTTTCACGTCTGGCGAAAATGACTTATCAGCTGTCTGCTTCTGATCATGCGGCTATTGCGGCCATACTCAGTGAGCCGTGGATGGATGTTGATGAAGAGCAGCAGCAGCAGGTTAATGATGCGTACCAGTTAACAGTCGAGGATCAAGCAGCCTTTGATCACATGCTAGCTAATCCCAGTGAGTTCAATGAACATGATGAACAGACTCTGACAACGGCTTTGCTGCACCTGGGTCAGGTTGATCAGCGAAGCCCGGGATTTTTGGCTGCCGCTCTTGCTCTTGCGCAACTAGACGACTGGCAGTATGAAGATCCCCAGCGCCGCAAGCTGGTGGAAATGTGGCTCGAGATGAGTCGCTACCCGATTTCTCAGGTCTCTTCCAACTGGTCAAAGAATCCATTGTATCCGTTCGCGTGAAGAATAACCTATGCTTACCCGCCGCGCTGTTTCTGGGAAAATTTCGCCTGACGCATGATTTCGAAGTACTTATTCATGGATTTCTTGGAAACGGTTGCTGTCATGCTTGACGTGCTGATGTTTGAGGAACCAGGATCCACCAGCCGACATGATAGAACGCCAGATCCGTATGGTGAATGAATAAGTATAAATGGAGCAATAAGTATAAATGGAGCAACTATATACGCGCAAACCGCACCGAGAATTTGGAGGACGAAGCTGTAAAGATAATGGAAGAGTGCCTCTTGCCGCCTGGTCGTTACTGCGACCTTGATGACCTGGAAGTTCTGCAGAAGGAAGCCTTCCCACAGTTCCAAATCAAAGTCATTTCGGCCAATCAAGGTGATATGATAATTGCGCGGGTGCCAGAACGCAAGACGACCGACATGCAAGAGATTTTCTTGTTGTTGGATAATGAGCATTTTGACCTTGTCACCACGGCTACTGGGTTCTACTGCTCACCCTACTTCTGCAATGATTGCGATCGAACGTATCATCATAAAGAACGTCATCATTGCGAGGGGAAGTGTAGGTCCTGCTACCGCAACAACAGCGACTGTCTGGTGGAGAATCCTATTAACTGCACTGAATGCAGCCGTGGGTTCCACAACCAACAGTGCTACGAGATCCATAAGAAGAAGAGGAAAAATGGAAAGAATTATTGTGAGCAAATGTTCATTTGCCAGACATGCGGTGTTTTCGTGAATCTTTCCAGTCGTGGCAAAAACGTAAGACACCAGTGTGGCGAAAGTTAAAGCAACATGTATAAACCCAATAAAAGGAATTATCTGAGTTAATGAATGTTAATTCTGTCGAGCGGCATGATTTTGTCTCGCCTTTGACATTAATGTGCTGTCGCAGTTGAGATTTATTGCTGGCCATCTGGGTGGTCAGATGGTATTCCTTGAGATTGCTCTGGTTTCATGCTGCCTTTAGCAGCTTTACATCAGTGTTCATTTGCAAAGATTTTTGATGTAGTTCACGTCGAACGTGATTTTACATATGCTCCTGCATTATTTTATGGCGTAATCTCGTCCGCGGCATATCTTGTCGAAATTATTACGTCGTGTCTCTCATGATTTGTATATAGCCGCTTGTGTTTCGTACGATGAATTTTTGGAGGTCCCTATTTACGTTTTCTTTATCGAGGATTAGTAATGATTTCTGTTTGCATAATATATTGGCTTTTTATTTGTGACTATCACCATAAGGGCGGTTGCCCTGTTCTTTCAGCCCGGCATATTGCCGGGTTCACAAAATGCCTAACTTCATTTGCTTGCATTCTGGCTACCATTCTACAACGTGGACGGCCATCTCGCACGTCAACATTTGTTATTCCCATTGGGTCATTTCTGTATAATACGAGTTTGTGTGCTGTCCTGATCTATTACATAGATTTTATATTTGTACATAGATATTAGGATTATATATTAAATTATTTTTATATTGTATACATGTTGTAGGCTTACATACTTGTGATATGTATTACAACATAAATTTTATTATTGGTTATTATGATTATAAATATTATTATTATATATATCATCATTAATATTGTTATTATATATATTGTTATTATATATAATATTATCAATATCATTGTCATATTATAATTATATTGCTTGTATCATTATGTCACAACCTTCAAGGGATTGATCTTAATATGTATAGATCTATCATATTATTACTATATACCGTGTATGGTTTTACACATTTCTACTCCTTTTTGTATATTGTGTTAAAAGGTTATGTCAAACAAATCATTGATAGATTTTATGATATGTTATGTTTTATTATTAATATATTTTATATTATTGTATATTTATTATTTATAGACTTCATTATCAGGTTTATTATTTATATTGTGTACCTACTGTGCGTGTAGTGTATCATTATATATTACAGTATTATTGGTATATGTATTATAATATATTATTGTATTGTGTTATTATATCGTATTATTATGTTGTATTATTAAACTGTACTACCTTATGATGTAATATTATATTTTATAACTGCATTGTATTCTATCGTATTGTATGCATACTATATCTTATACATATATGATATTTGTTTACAAAATTTTACCTTATTTTTATATATTATTTATGTATTATTATGTATTATTATTAATATTATTATTTTATCATTATTTGTTGTTATTGGTAATATTAAAGTTATTATTATTTTAGCCTTATTATTATTATTTAAAACACTATTGTTATTACTATGTACCATTGTTCTTGCTGTGGTCATGATCGTTATTGTTATAATTGCTGTATTATCTTCCCGTTTTACTATTGTTCGTTGTTATAATTTTTATTCGTCCTGTTATTGTTAGCCCCATTGTTATCCGAATTATTTTTATCTTCGTTACCCTGTTATTTATTTCTCTATTTGTCATCCCTGATATTTGTTATCCGTGTGATAATTTCTGTGATTCTTATTCTTTCTCCCTGTTATTTCTATTCCTATTGTTTGTTGCATCCCCGTTCTTAATGTTTATATATCCTTATTTCTGTTATCCTTACATCCCTGCTCTTGTTGTTACTTTAGAGCGTCCTATTTAAGTTCTCTTCATTGAAGTTTCAGCAAATGGTGTCTACAATTCGAAATCGGAGTAAATTTGTGACTACCACCGTATGGGCGATTGTCCTGTTCTTTCTTTCAGTCTGGCATATTGCTGGATTCATTTGTTCACACTCTAGCTACTCTTGCAGTCTTATACGTGTTATTCATTGTCATTTATTGTTACTGCTGTTATTTATTGTATCCTCGTTTCCACTGATGCTATAAGCGTATTTTAATATCCTGTTTTCGTTTTCCTGTTATTTATTATATCTCTGTTCATATTCAATATTATTCTTTTTCTTTACTTTACGCCTCTGTTGAATTAATTTCACTGGTGCCATTAATGGTGTGATCCGTAATATATATGCCTTGTATTTATCGTTAAATACTTATTGCCAATATTTTCTGGTTGCCTTTGGTCAATAATTCCATATTTTACCGTGAAATGCGTTAACCAGCATCACATTTCCGTGTCTACGCAGAAAACGTTTCGGCGGCATATTCGGCGGCACTGCCGTTTTTATCTGTTTATTTTTATTTCATTGTGTCTCATTGTGTTTCAATGATTGTATCGTTTGGTTCCGCTTGATGCCTGATAATCGCTTAATGCTTATATCCGTTGGTCACATGTGTTTACAATTGTTAGTGGAAACCAGCATCACGATTCCTTCGTTGTCATTTCGGTTCCCTTTGATGGCTTCTTATTTGGATGTACAATATGCATTGCCTTCTGCTTGCATCTCAGTTCCCTTCATTCCTCAGTGATGACCATACTGTTCGGTTACGTAACTTGTTGCCTGATGACAGTCATAAAGTTCTCTTAATCGCTTATATAGTGATTCATAATTCTAAATTTGACCAGTTCTCTCGTCATTAAACAGTTTTGTTCTTTAATCTTGCTGATCGCTCTGGACATTTGTTGGATCAAGTCAAGTGGACATCAAGTGCGTTTTCGTCTTGTTCGCGAGATATTATTTGCGTCCCATAATCCTGCTTAAACAGTCCATCACCATGTATTAGGCCTATTGGCTATTCACGTCGAACGCGATTACAATATATATTATATAATAGTATATATTATAATTGTACTTTTCACTTGCGAATGCCAGCGTGTTAGCGGCTGCTCTGTTCTTTCGGTCCGGCAACTTGCCGGATGCGTAGAATTCTGATTTCAGTTGTTTACGTTCTGACTACCTTTGCATCTTTGCTCAGCTAAATTTATGTTTGTATTGTTTCCGAGGGATTTTCACATCAAACATGACTTTTAATCGTTTTTACGTTATAATCCCAGAGACTTAACCGTATCCGATTCGTTTTGGTGTTCTCAAATTTCTTTTTGATCCTACTGTATCTAACGCCTCGGATTAACTGATTCGCAATGGGACGAGATGGAAAGCAGTGGATATGCCGATCACCAAACCGAAGGCGAAACGCGGATGCCTATCTCGCACGCCAACGTTATTACCATTTGTTCTTCCAATTTTACCTTCAGACATATTATCCAGCATCACATTTCTGTGTCCATGCCGAAAATATATTCCGGGGCACTGAGCCGCTTTCTGCAGTTCCTACATTTCCCACGTTGTGTTGCGTAGCTCATTAATGAAGCTGAAGTGTTTAATTTATCGTCCGTTAATACGGTGGATCCAACATACGCCGCAATCGCGGCTTTGAACCTAAACTCCCCACAACGTGGGTCCACACCGCCTAACGGTGATGGTGGTGGCTATGGTAAGGCCCCGAACCAGGGTAACTTTGGCTATAGCCAGGGGAATAGCGGCGGAACACAAAGAGGCGGCTACTCTAGAGGCCAAAACGCCAGCTTCAGCGGAAGGCGAGGCGGCAACAATAACGGCCCCAGACGCAACGCCTTGAGCCAAGGAGGCAGCGGAGGCCAAACTGGCCAACGCCAAGCACAAAACTCCGAAAAAGCTCGTAAGCCAGAGGACATGTACATCGACCGCATCGAGCGCATGCTCGAAAGGTGGGCCAGGGACAAAGCCATGACCTGTAACTTTTGTCTCTGGGGAAACCACAAGACCAACGAATGCGGCTACGCCAACAGGAATCTCCAGGACAATCCTAACCGCAACTGGGTCCTGGATTGGCGCGAGCGGTACATGAAGGGATACCCGACAGGGGCACAAAATCCCAGCCGCTTTGGCCTGGTGCCACCCAAACAAGCCCGACCACAACGTGGTAGCGGGGGGAACGGCAACCGAAGGCAGTCCACCGGCTCAGGAAGTGGGTCCGGTGGCGGAAACCGTCAAGGCGGCACAGAACGATATGGCGGACCAGGCGGATTCCAAACACCCGCGACCGAATGGACCGCCTTACCGCCGCTGACCGACCAGCAGTTGCAGCCAACCAGCAATATTGGCGGCGGCTCTAACCGGGCCAGCCCAACTGCGAGAAACGCCTAAGGTCACGGAGTAACGGCAACTCACCTGACCTATTACCGGAACCTAAACCGCCGGATATAACTAACCCTTCTGTTAAACTAACTCCAGCTGCTAGAAGGGCAGCGGATCCGGAACCGGCCGCCCAACCAGCCGCCGGCGGATTCAGGTTTAGCCCCAACCGGCGACTAAGCCACATGACGCTAAAAGTGTGGTAATGCCAGGACGCGTAGAAGACGCGCCTGGACTGTATGGCCCTAGAAGTGAGGCCAAATCGACAGCCGTCCAACCGGCGGCCAAGTCGGTTTTCGGAGCCTGGGTTAACTCCAAGACCAACCAATCACGTGGGAAAGCGAGACGTCGCACCGCGAACATGACGTATCCAAGATCAGCGTCAGAATCATCCTCCGACAGCGCACCGAAAGGATGGTCCGTAAGAAGTACGGACAGCGAGGTGGCACCACTAGAAGAGTGGACAGCCGAACCTCTTGAGGCGTCATGTCCCGGGCCCTGCTGGCCCCAGACCGGTGGACGATCCCTCGGATCCGCACCAACAGTGCGGACCATTAACAGCTCCCGGACTTTCTCGAACCACAAGCAGATGTTCTCAACCTTAAGGGAAACAGGGACATTGCCACGGGAAGAGTCCGCCCAACAGAAACTCATAACACCTATGGACGCTTCTAATGACCCCGGACAAGTGTCGCTAATCCCCAGTATACCGGTGATGCGGGAAGTGACAGTTGGCCTGGATGAGAACCGGAAACCGAAGACTGCCAGAGCATGGACACACTCAGCCCAAATTGGACCAGTCCATACGCTCGCCATGCTGGACACGGGAGCAGAAACTTCCCTTATCACCCAGCAATTCTGCACGGCCAATGGCATCAAAACTGAGCCATTAGGACGGAACATCAAATTCCTTGGTGTTGGCGGCCAAACCCCCTTTGTGGTCTCCCATTGCTGCACCGTACCGGTGACATTGCAGGGATATAAAAGCCACCACACGTTCTTCGTCCAACCGACGACAACGGACGTGCAAGTTTTACTTGGATGTGACTACCTGCACTCCAAGTTTACCTTCATATTGAAGCCAAACGAAGAAATTATTTGGGACGCGGTAAAGTCAATCCCGATACCAGAGGCACCGGGATCCGACAAGGAAGTGAGGATAAATCGGCTTCGCGAACTGACTGTTCAAGCTTCCACCTGTTCGGAATGCCTGGACACCATTGATAGCCTTGTCTGGGAACTGCGCGTCCATAATGCCATTGAGCGCTACATGAACCAATTTCGCTCTGGCATACTCAAATCAAATCACGGGATAGTAAACACTATCCCGAAACCAGAGGCACCGGGCCAACGGCCGGTGCCTGACAGGGAACTTAAGGAGAAACAGGTCCAGGGATATAAAACATGGTTCATCGGAGTGAGAAATTTCCTCCAGTACCGCGCTGACCGACTCCTTGCCCTAGAAGAGGGCTGGCTCGAAGAAAATGGCGTGCCGCTAACGTGGGCGCAGATTGGAGCAGAATATGGACCATTTGCCCAAGAAAAGGACAAACTCCATGAAGAGGGATCGCTATGGGAGGACGAACGTCTAGCCCTATGGTGGGGATATAAAGAGTACCACATGGAAATGCCGAAAGCACTCCAACGAATGTGCTCGGACCTCTTCGATGACATTGTAAAACTTCACAAGAATTTGGCCCAACACCCTGGCGTAGCCGTCAGTATATGGCCAAAATACGACTTGTCCGCGACTAACGTCAGGACCATACCGGCAACATTACCAGAAGCAGCACCGCACATAGCGACAAAAGTGCGCTTCAGCGATGGCCCACACCCAGAACAGGGAGGCCATAGGAGGAACACCAGCCAAACGCAGGACCCTTCAACGGAGGAAGTCCAACTGACTTGTCCTCTGTGTGAAGACGGCGTTGAAGCAGTAATACGGGCCATAGAGACCCGTGCTGCTCAGCGGTGGACAGGAGGCCGACCAGCCTCGCCACTAACCAACAGGGACCATCCAACCACTTCGGCTGAACCGGACGAACCTGAGAAGCAGGAAATCGAAACTGGAAGGCCAGGAAACCAGGAAGCGGATCCCACGACCGAACCGGCACCAACGGTGACCGGTGGCGCGCCAACCTCTAACGAGGACAAAGGCGAGCCAAAGCCAGAGCAGGACGACAAACCCGAGCCTACCGACTCGGACGTCCAAAGCTCAAGTGATTCACCGGACACTGATTCCGACAATCAATCATCGGAGGAGTCCAGTGACGACGAGGACGACCCGCCTATCCGCCAACTTTGGAGTTTCCCAGTGGTCCTCGCCTCGAAGAAAAACGGCGACGGAACCATGGGCACCCGGTTCTGCATAAACTACATTAGGCTGAACTAGGTGACCAAAAAGAACAATTATCCATTGCCCAATCCAGACGAACTTCTGGACCAGTGTGCAGGCAACGCCTATTACGGCAAGGTAAATTGTCAGTCCGGATTCTGGCAGATCCCAATGGACCCAGCGTCCATGAACTACACTACCTTCGTTACACCAGAAGGGATGTACTGGTTCAAACGAATGCCGTTTGGCGTCTGCAACGGGCCAGCCACATTTCAGATGACAATGGACAAGATTATGGCGCCAGCACGCAAGAAAGGCGGCGTCTTCGCATACATTGACGAAGTGATATTTTTCGGCAAAACCTTCGAAGAATTCAGGCAAGCGTTCAGAAATACGCTCATCTTTTTGCGAGATGCCGGATTCACGATAAAACCGTCGAGGTGCGAATTCGGAATGGAAAAACTCCAATTCTTATATCACATCCTTAGCAAGGACGGCGTCCATACTGATCCTGAAAAGATAGCGGCCATCGCCGAGAAACAGCCGCCCATGACCGAGCGTCAACTTCGCTCGTTCCTTGGACTCGCCAACCATTATCGTCAGTTCATTCTGGGCTACGCCCAGAAAACTTCAAAGATGTACGAACTCCTGCGGTAGGAAAGTTTGGTCAAGAACGACTGGACTGACGCCCACACCGCCGAGTTCAACGATATTAAGAAGGCCCTAACGGAAGGCCCAATTCTGGCCAAATTCGATGGGACCAAGTAGACCACCATCGAATGCGATGCAAGTGGCGCAGGCATCGGAGCCATACTCAGCCCAGACTAAAGGCCAATCGCTTACGCGAGTCGTGTCCTACTTGGAGCTGAGAAGAACTACCGCGTGACTGAATGGGAATGTTTAGCCGTAGTGTGGGCCGTCCAAAAGTTTAAGCACTACATCGACCATGGACCATTCACCGTAAGGACGGACCACAGAGCCCTGACTAACCTGCTCAGATGCGAGTCTAACCGGCCCGGCATCAACCCTCGGCTTACTCGATGGGCCCTCGCCTTACAGGGAAGGGATGTCACCATTGAGTACAAGCCCGGCACTTTCTGCGACAACGCCGACGCGCTGTCCAGATGGCCACTCGAACGGGACGACGACAAGGGCCCACATGAAGAGTTGGACCAAGTCACCAACTTCGAGAATTACAAATACGAAATCCCAGCCCGCGTCATAAAGGTGCGGAGGCTGCAAGTAACTGATGAGGATCCCACAGACGACTGGGAAACGTCTTTCCTTCCTGATTGTAACGCAATCAGCGATTAGAATGAATTCAGCACGGCGGACATACGGGTCATCATGTACCGGCGCCCAAACCGGACGAACCGGACCCCGTGGTCCCGCCGTGTCCAGAAAAAGTTACGGACCGCACCGTGCAAGAACTGCGACGGATGCAACACCGCGATCCAACTTTGGCCAAGAAAATTCACGAGTTGGAACATCAGACCGAAATGGATAAACGGTCCAAACTTCCTGAACATTACCAGATAAATAAAGGTATGCTCTACCGACTGACCGAAATTAATGCGAAGCTAGAAAGGAGGCTCATCATCCCACTCTTCATGCGGAAAAATATTATCCAGTCCCTCCACGACGGAAAAACAGGGAATCACTTTGGATACCGCAAGACCATTAAAGCCGCCAAGCTCAGGTACTACTGGGACCGTATGAACAGCGACATACACGACTACATCAACCGATGTCAGACGTGCATCTTCAGCAAAGTACCGCGGCGAGCTACCTACGGAAAGCTGCAGCCGACCGACGCTGTTGCGCCTTGGTACCGCGTCTTCGCCGACTTCAAAGGACCATTACCGGTGACCGAAACGAAGAAATACCGGTATGTCGCCGTAGTGGTTGACCAAATGACGAAGTTTACCATAGCCCGGCCGACCAAAACAAATTCGGCCAAGGAGTTTGAAAAGCTCTCCGTCGAGGAAGTTGTCCTCAAATATGGAATGCCACATACAGTGCACTCCGAGCGGGGCACGCATTTTACGGCAAAATCCTCGCCAAAGTGGCGAAAATTTTTGGCATCGAGCAAACGTTCGGATCTGCCTATCACCCCGAGGGCCAAGGCCAAGTCAAACGCCAGATGCAAACGATCTGTGATGGAATTTGAAACGTTGGCGGCGCGATGAACATCGTTGGCACCGGGCCTTACCATACCTGATCTCCGGCATGAATCGTGCCGTTCACCCGACCACTGGATTCAAACCGCACCACATGTTATACGGACGGGAGATGACCATACCGCAAGACGTCCTCGCTGGGACCAACGTCCTAGAAACATTCACGACTAACGAACGTTATGTCCAGAGGATGCAGCAGCGCCTGAACCGGCCGCATGAAATTGCGAAAACGCGCATCGAAGAAGGCTTCCTACGGGATGCGGCCATCTATAACAAAAAGAAGGACCAGACCGAGTTCAAGAAGCGGGACTTGGTCACCCTGAAGAACACTGTGGATGACCCGACCAACCCAAACAAGTATGAGGGCATCTACATAATCCTCGGAATTCCTAAGCCAAACACTTACTGGATCCGAGAGCGGGACACCGGTGAAGAACTCACCGTATGTGTCGATCGCTTGAAGCCGTACCTAAACCCGGACGGCCCAAGTCGCCGAATCACCCGTTCAACAAAGAAGAGCGGCGACGCTTAACCTGAACCCACGGAGTCGGGAAGGTGCAACGACCCGAAAAAGACCGAGTCGGGACGGTGCAAATACAAAGACCAAACAGAGTTGGGACAAAGTGCAGGACTCCCACAAACCACAGAGCCATGAAGGCGCAAAGATGCGGCTTCTCCGGCAGCTTCTCCCCAGACCAAACTGGAGAAGCTGCTAAAGAAGCAAAAGCCCGGAAAGGGCCCTTCCAAGAAACTCGTGGAGGAGCAGCAAAAGACTCTGAAGATACCTGGCCTTAATGGGCCTGAACCAGAACCAGAAAACCCGGCCCCAAAGCGCGGCCGTGGCCGGCCTCGGAAGACCAAACCGGACTTCAAGACGCCAGCCTTGACTAAACTCCAAAACGAGCCATTAGCCGTCATTGATCCTGAGTCAGTACCTGCGGAACCTGAAAAAGCATTGGCCGCACCTGACAAGCTTAAACCCGACCCAAATCTACCAAGTCAGAACCTGCAAGAGAAGCCGAAAAGACCAAAGTCGCCTAAAACGCCGAAGGCAACCCTTACGGCTCAGCAGGTCCTCAACCGAGGATATCTGCGCGGCCTGATTAAACAAGCCCTCCAACGCGTGCTGCCTAAACCCCGACCGGGGCAAGCAACACGCGGAGCCCGAACCGGACTCTTGGTCCCAACACATTCCTCAGACCGTCGACCGGCGGAAGAACTGTGAGACCGTTATAGGCGCATTATGCAGGTCTCAACTGAAAGGCTTGCAGCAGGGCCAGCATTCAGTCGGCCAACCACTCCGTCTCAATCGGAAACGGAGACCGACAGTGACATTGAATGGCTGGACCTGCCCGATCCTATTCCCGTACCGGGATTAACGGCACCGCCGGATCATATGGTCGCGCCAGAATGACAAATCCATCCAAGACGAACCACACTGGCGCCACCACCAGAAATCGCGGAACGCCTGGAACAGATCATGCGAGCCACAACGGCTCAACCTATTACTACAAGAACAGGTGCCATGTCCACTATCATATCGCTTGCAGAATCCAGCGAATCGGGCCGCCGAACTCTCTACGACCAATGGCGAGTGGAGGAAGAAGCCCGGCGCCGAAGAAGGTTATGCGAAGTGGATACAGGTACATTCCAAATGACGACCCCAGTGGCGATACGGGTCAGAACCCTGATCAGAGACGCCAAGGACATCGATCGTCGCATGGCCAACTAGATAAGGGACCTCAGCCCATTTGACCCGGAAGCGGTCCGGCCGACCCAACAGCAGCAAAGTCTATCCCATCGGATAGCCCTGCTTAGGGAACTTACACCGAACAACACGATGCCGACCGGCGATTCGTTAGTTGTCGTGGAGCATACTATAAGATGGCTCCGCACATTTGTTGAAGATTACTGGAAAGTCCAACGACCAGGCCCGGCAACAACGGAGCTCCCAGGTGACTTTGATCCAGTTAACGAATGGCGACCAGACACAGCGGCAGCGCCAACGGCGCCGACCACTGAACAAGCATCAGTCGCCTCAACATCGGCGGACCCAACTTTGGTCCAAGCCCCAACAGTGGCCCCAGCACCAACCGTGCCTGGGCCAACATCAAGCCAGCCTGCGGACACTGCCGTACCCGCTACCGCGGACGACAGTATGGAAATCCCACCGCAGGAGGATGAAATGGACTTGAGTTTGCTCGACAAAACTTTCGAGCTCTCGCCGGAGAAGCCGACACCAGTCCAACTGACTGGTGCACCGATAAGTCCAATGGCAGTCGATGAGCCAACGGCTTCATCTGACACCACGCCCACGCCAAACCGAATTGAAGGCGATACATCAGGCGGCACTTTAGTCGTCCGGCCAACGGCCAGGAAATCGACTGGAGGAAGGACCGCCACACCGGAGCGAACGGCCACACCAGCCACAATTGGCGGCCCACAGTCGCCCAGGTTTAAAACGAAGAAACGGACCCCTCCAGAAGCAGAGGAAACGCCTTCGCAACGGTCACTCCGCACCTAACCCAGAGGCCGAACGGAACCGCCAAAAGAGACAAGCGGCCAAGGACAAAAAGAAACAAGAGGCCAAGATCGCCCAGCTGGAAAAGCGGCTGTCAGGCGACGAAGAAGTCCAGGTTTTATCGGACAGCCCGGACAAACCAGGGCCCTCACAACCCTTGGCTGAACCAAGACCACTACCACCCCTGCCATCTCCCTATCGGGAGGAGGACTTTGAACCGGTCCCAGAGGGAGACCCGCCCTCTGAGGAAGTCATGCTCCCATAACCTTGGGATGACGAAGCTGAATTTCCTGACCCAGGACCAGAAGCCACATTTTGAAATCCTAGCGGGTTACGTCGATCAATGGGTAGCGACCGCTAGAATTATGAGAAGGGAATCGGGCCGAGACATTTACCAGTGTCTCACCAGCTTTCTACGCGCCCGCATGGCATTCGGACAATAATTTAGAGGACTCCCGCTCACGGACCGCGTACTGACGGCACCCTATATGCGGCGGGTGGTCACTCTTATTCACGACTCAGGCCTACTGGTCCGCACACATCGCGATTGGACTGACATGGCAGAAATCCACGTGGCCCATCGGCCATCTGGACTCTCGCGTAGCGGGGATAACTACTTTCAACAAATCTGCCGGACCATTGGGTACTTACATGACCCAAGAGGCTCCACCTTGATGGACATCTCCAGGACAATCAACGCCCTTTACTACAAGGGAACGATGGATCCGTGGAAATTGAATGACCAACTAGTGAACGAATTACTAGCACAGGTTAGAGACGGCGTCCTGGAAACCACCAATGCCTTTCGCGCTGAACCATTACGCTTCGCTGTCCCGGGATTCATCCCACAGAAGACGCAACGGTCTCTGTATGTGTCGCACGACGTTGGCACTAGATGGGATCCGAGCAGAAAGAAAGCGGTAGGAGCGAAGGCAAAAGACCTTAAAGGCGGGGCCAAAGAGGCATATAACATGACTCAACTGGCCAAACTGCCAGGCCCAAAGAATCTGCCGCAGGAAAAGCCTCCGAGACCATCAGTTACTCGAAGGGAGAACGCCGTGCGAAAGGAACAGCAGGAGGCGAACATGCGTGCGACAGGCCAACGGCCCTCGCCGCGGGACACTGTGTCGCTGCCTAACGCAGCTGGCCAGTCCCGACCGCCTTCACCGGCCCCATCAGTTATTTCAACGAAGAGCCGAAAGACTACGGCCAAGAAAGGGCGCGGCAAGAAGTCGCCAACCCCGCCACCTGATGACTCAGATTCTGAGGACTCCAGACCAGAGGACTCAGAATCAGAAGAAGATGAAGAGGAGGACCAATAGGACCAAGAAATGGCATCCCAGAAGTCTGACTCCGAGGACTGACGATGATGACCAAAGCCCTGGCAAACTGACCATAAATGTCCCACCGGACTATAGCATGGAAATTCCTCCAGTGGCTATGTTTCGCCACCACCACCAAAGGTGGCCAGAAAATTGCCGGGCGGAGATCCATCCAAGAAGATGAAAATCTCCAGTATGGACAAAGGATGGGTATATGTAAAGGCAGCCATACAGGCGTTGTCCCAAACGGGTACAACTTACGCCACAAGGGATCTAGCCTACCAGCTCACTGAGAAATGGGAAGGCCCGGGGCTGTCTAAATCCAAAGTGAGGCAGTATGTCCAGATGGCATTCAATGAGGGCGCCATCCTGCGGACTCACACGCCCAACGGCGATATCTTTTACACGTTCCCACCGGAAAGACGTGACGCGGCCCCTCAAGGATATTGGGAATGGAGCAACGCCATTCTCACTGTGCTGACGACCACACAGCACCCTCTTGGCCTCACCCGTGGAGAAATTGCCAACCAACTGCTGGGCCATTACCAACTGTACTACATTGCGCATCACCCGCAGCTGATTGATGGAACGGAATACGCCTCGGGCAACGGCCGGAACATAGGCTTATTCCCCATCTTTGAAGACGTTAGACACGTCGTCAAGAAGATGCTGCGTGAACGTTGGCTCGAACAAACCGTTGATGAGCCAGAGACCCAGCAGCGCTACCGAAGGTTGAATGACCCACCAGACCATTACGGCCCTCGTCCTGCCGACACCCCCACTTTGGCTTCCACCAAGAAGAAGCAGAAGCGGAAGTCCTACCACCAGTGACCCGGCATAGAACTTGCATAGGGCATAGGGGGGAACGGGTTGTAAAATTCATAGGGACGTAAATTTATAGGGCGTAATTATCATAGGGACCAGTCCTAGAAGTAGACCTCCCCAGTTTTCTGTATGTTTAATTTCCGTTACAACAGAGAATGGGATTCACCCCGCAGCAGAAGTATGAATCGGGATGCGCGGACTGCAAACGGAACAGTTTGGACTTGTCCGGCCGGAGGGAAAACTCTCGACGAGAGTACCTACCCTGCGCGTACCACTTGCGACCCGGTTTTCGCGACGAAAGCGAACGAGCCTATTGCTTCTAACTAGAAGTGGTGAGAGGC